GTTAAAAAGATATTTGGAGACCTTTTAACCATTTCGTGTGGGAGCATATGCTTGCCGTCCGCCTTGTAGACGTACATGCCTGACCGTCTATACGTAACAATAAAAAAAAGTTACATTGAAAGGGGATTATTGTTATTTCTCAGTTAAGAGTGTCATGCAAATCTTGTGTCGTGCAGAGTACTGTTCGGTGGTTTCTGTATCGTGACATGTGCCCTAAAGTACGCTCCTTACAGCTCGTCTTATGACCGGGGGAATATTTCACCGTTCGTAGACGAGGTACATTAATGCGTATTAGTCCAGTGATGGAAAAGTCCTATCCAAGAGGATTATTTAATTTTTCGGGGCAATAACTCAGTGGCCGGTAAAATCTTGTTTTCTGTTATTTGTGTCATGCCCCACCATTAACGACACCGTTTGCCGGCTATCGAACGACTAGGGAGAAGAGCCGGAGTATTCTTGCTTTTCAACTCGACGCGACTGTTTAAGTTGTCGAAGTGCAGACCCTCATATCAGACATACTCGAGGGTAAACTGTAAATAAGTGTAGAGTTTTCACCAACGTGAGAGACTGGAATATAAGGGCACAGGTTTGTGATTGTTTCTGGGTAAACATACGGTACAACGCATTTAAAAGCTATTTGATAGATGGAGATTTGTTTCGCACATCTGTTTTTCGCCCACGTCTTAATTAATTAAAATTGGTCGGAAACAGCAACTTATCATGTAGAGAGTTATTCTTTGTTTGCCTCTTCATATCCCACGTGCCGTTACCCAAACACCCGCCCTCAGAACGAAGGAATGAGATAGAATAGAATGATGTGAATTTGGTGATGTTATTGTGGCAGAAAAAAACGAACTGCCTATGTTGTGTCGACCTACGTTTTGATTACCAGAACTTGTTTGTGCTGTGAACAGAAGTTTTGGTTCAGGTAAATTGATTTTAGTTCGACTAGAAGCAAAACTTTCTTCTCCTTGAAAAAGATTTACAATCACTACTTTCTCTTGCAACAAAGAAAGCGGTCGGAGTAAGATATATGATACATCAAATTAAAACTTATTGGAAGAAAAACTTGCAACTTGTTTTACTTACCTGACGTTCCTCAACTGAGGTCAGTTTCCTTACGTGCCAAAAGGTGCAGAATAAAACGTGAATTAATGTTAAACCGAACAAACGTTGGTTCTCTTCCAAAAAATACAGTTCTATGCTGCGTACAAATTATCATAAGTGCGCTCTTTCGCATCATCAGGGAAACCTTTTCGACTTAAGACAAAATCGGTTAGGAAGTGCGTGAAAAGAGCAACTTGGTTTTCTTTGTGGTTGAAAAACATTTTGAAAATCCCGTGTCGTGCAGGGTATTGTTTCCCTTTTCATGTGACTACATGCCATCAGACCCAGTAACGAACGCATCCTCTCAAAACAGGTGCATGTAGGCAGGGCTTCTGGTGCTCTCTTCAGCCTCCTCGGTAAAACTACTGGCATGCTGCCGGTATATCCTGACTCACGCACGAGGACGTTTTATTAAGTAAAAATAATTTGTTTTATTGCGAACTATTTTTACCAGTTATCGGTATTCAAGAGAAGAGGGTGAGCAAAACATTTTATTAGAAAAGAAACCTTGACGAAGTTTCTGGATTCTTTGTCGCGGTGTTCTACTGGTTGCTTCATATAATTTAAAAAACGGCGTTGCGAGAACTGTGCGCCCAACTGCTTTCATCATCCATTATAAATAAGCCACTCGTAATTTTATCACAGTGTAGCTCCAAGTGTTTCTCTCAGGTCCTACTGTCAATTTCAAAAATTCTGGTACCTTTTTATGGTCATGTTTGTCACTTGTTTGATGAAGAAACAATCACGGACTTCGCAATTGGGTGGTAAAATAAAAAACGGTATTTTACAGAAAAATTGGCCTCAAGTAAATGACTATTTTCTTGACTTGCGTTTTCAAGTAGTAGCTTAGATTTGAAAAAGAAGCGTGGATGTTGAATTATCGAGGGGCACGTTAAAATACTCACTGAACGTTCTACTCGTTGCCTGAAGCATATTCAATGAAATACCTTCCTTGTGAAATACATTCGTTTAGTTGGAGATTTGGAGATTTATAAAATGCTAAAAATGCTAGACAACGACGTAGAATCCAAATGTTAAAAAGTCGAATATTTGCTTTTTTGGTAAAGACGTCCTACGGATACCGGTATTTGAACAAAAGAAGGCGCATTGTAAGAAGTGAAGCTTTACTGTATTTGTTCTTTGACGAAAGAGACATAAGGAACTGGTACATTTTTCTTGTATTGTTTCGTGTAAACCAAGTTGCAAAATATACTCGTTCTCTCGTCTTAGCTTTCGTAAACCTAGAATGAAAGCGAGTTATTTCTTCGTTGCCATGTTGAAAAATTACCCGTTTATTTTTTCTTAATGATCCGACGAAGATATGATGTCACAAACATCCTTGAAACTAATATTATGAAGGATCCTAAAAGGTTTTGATTTTCATTTCTAGAACTGTGTAAATGCTTACCTGAAAGGACGTTCTGCATGACAAAATCGACGTTGATGACAATATTTTTGTCAGTGTTCTTTCTCGCAGTTCTCTCGTTAGGGAATGCATCTTTGAAGGATTTTGATGTATTAAACAGGGTTGCCTATAATGTTAACTAACATCAGTCCCGCACGTTTGGAGTCTGATAAGAAAACCGATTTTCGACGTACTGATTAAAATGCCACTGAAATGGAGCACAGTTTAGTCAGTTTCCAATCCAAAAAAGTTCCTCTTCGAGGTCCCTCCGTCTTAGCGATAATACAGGGGGTTAAAAAAGTAAAAGACCTAAAAAATATAGAAATGTTTGCCTCCATGTAGATTTTACAGGGATTCAATATTGTCAATTAAAAGTGGTCTCATCACGACTTTCAGACGCGCCGTGTGTGATTTTAATTTATATATTGATACAAGAAAGTTAGAAAGATCTTTCATTTACATTTTTCATAGATGTACAATAATCCTTATCGATCCTCGCTCGATTTCATCTTTGTGTCAGATCTCAGCAGTAACACGGAATCACTTTTCTTTTCAAACATTTAACCTAAGACAGCTTCTTGGAAGCCATCAAATTTATTGAAGATTTTATCCGATAATATATTCAAATCTATAACAAGGATATTGTAATATATAGCAATAAACTGAAAGGTTGAATCAGGCTTTAATCCAAACTGAGAAGAGGCCTTTCTATCCTGGCCCCAGTTTCTCTCACTATGTTAGTCTAGTTTCTGAGCAGATTACTCCGTCACTGGAACCAATTTTTCTGAAGCTAAACAGCAGTTTATTTTACTCAAAAAACTATGGCGCGTGGACGATTTGCCAACCAACTTGTGACCATTATCACCAACACTAGAAAAGCACTTGTCAATCAGAGCACTTCTGTCGTTTGGTGCTAATACTTTATCGATATTCAGCAAAATGAATTTCTTCGGTTTCGATATTAGCAATTTTTACTATAATATAAGAATGTTATTAACCTTATCGTGTTGTGGCAGCTTGTCAATGCAATAATTTCTTTGTGTCTTTACCTTTGTTTTTAATTTGATAGTGATTCTTAAAACATGACACTTTCTGAAACGAAACAACAAATTGTTATGACCTACAATTTCTATGGCCCACCCAAATGTCATGGTGCCATTGAATTCCTCTTCACAAACCAGGCGGTTAACCTCAGGGTGTAGTGTTTTTACCCACAAAAATACATTCTTTGATTGCAAATAACAATATTAATAATGCTATCTACCCGCAGACTCAAAACTTACAACCGCACATGCCATTTATGCGTAACACAGGAAAAATAGTTGTCGTTGATTCCTAGCCGGAACCATAAGGAAACAAATAAGTCTCCAATTTGCCTCAAGTCTTGTGTAATGAACGATATGAAAAGAGGTTCACTCTCTTTGAAATAATACACACTCCTTTTATCCTGGAAAGTCTATTTAATGGAGAAGAAAAATCGTGATTGAAAACAGTTCACGCCCGTGGTTTCAATGAACTTTGTTGAGTAGCATTTCAGAAAATTTCGAGTCTCTTCCGAGGGGTCTTTTTTTGTCAGAAATTCGGCCCTACTGATGGTGAAAATTCCGTTTGAGTGTATATAGATGAATTGCACTCTAAAGATAATGTCAAAGAAGCGCTTTCCTGTGGTGTTGTTTAAAAACGTTTCTTATGCTATACAAAATGTTGACCAAAAATAGGGCACAAAAAAAGAGGTGAAGTGTTTTCTTTGCCATGAAACGTGGACGCTTTAGGAAATAAATGGGCGCACAAGGGAAATGGATGTAAACATGTGAAAGAGGTGTTAACATACTAAAGCTTACAATGGGGCGTTTCTTTAGTTGTTTACCTTCTAAAGCTTTCTGGTTGTGATTACTCCTTACTGCGTTGGGGTAGTTTGGCAAAGGCAAATTATTAAAATTGATCATCCCTGTTTTAAAGCGATTCTTAATTGAAAAGTATCCTGCTAAGCTAAACAACTGGAGTTTTCTTAACACGTAGATCCACAATAGCCTTCGATTGGTCTTCGTCTTAGTTTAGGAATTTTGTAGTCTTTAAGTGAAAAAGGTTCTTCTTTGCCGTGGCTGACCGTTTTCAGCTTTGTCAGTGGGACAAACGTTCACTAAGCCGTCTGGGGCTGTTATTTGCAAAATTATTAAAACCACAATGAAGCAAACAACACCACTCAATGTTGAAACATTTAAATAAAGAGTTCACGTATTAACATCCACGCAAACATGAGAGATGTCACAGCAATGTTGGACAACTGGCATCATTTTAAGTGCCGTTTTAATCTCCCCAATACTGGAGACATTGTATGTCATGTCCGAAACCCAAGTTACTTCACTTTTGTTAACATAAAATTTGACTAAGTCACAGAAACGTCATCTTATAGACTCGTTCATTTCGCGTTTCTTCCAAGAATAAAGTTTGTGAAAGATAATCAAAGACAATAACAGAACAAAGCTTTCATCGTGCTTCGAGTAGGCTTTTATATTTCTCTCTTCTTTCAATTCTCACAAATACATAATTCTTCAATCATGGTCATATATATCTGGATTAATTTTAAAAGTCTATCTATTTGCATTTATAAAATAGCATCACATATATAAACAAAATACTAAGAAACTGTCGTTAATACTCAAATATGGTACATCATATCAACATTAACTCCTTTCTTGGAATAGACTATTTAAAATCATACAAAAACTTAGTTCATTTTTTCTCTAAAATTTCCTTTTTGAAAGGAAGAGTACAAGGCAGCAATGGAATCATCACACGAACGGATGCCAATTAACCCTTTAATCCCTATTTATGATCAGTACTTTTCACACGTTTTATACGGAACTAAAAAGGAGAATTTGATGACTATTTCTGTCGATCACTTCCTATATTCTCATTGCCTAAAAGGCTTGATTAAGGAGTTATATCCTAGAGAGAAAGTAACCCCTTGTTATCATTAGGGCTAAAAGGGGTAATTGGAATCCATAATAACACCAACTTTTTCCTATAAAATCTTCATTAACCGAAAGTTTTACAAACTCTGGCGATAAAATCAATAATTCTCTATTTTTGGGGGAAGATCTTTTGAATGTCTAAAAATACTTCACTAATCGATATGGCTGAACGCCAAAGCGAAACAAACAAGCAATTGCTAGATCAGTCAACATTGTTCATATTTCGTTTAACTTTAACTCGAATGCATGTCCATAACTGGTTGTGTCATTGTCAACACATTTTCCGATGAAATTAAAGTGGGTGAAGTTTGTGTAGAAGGTATGAGCTGTGCGCCGGGATGTCCTGGATGTGCCGGGTGACCGGGATGATGGGGATGTGCGTGCGGGTGCCCCGGTGGGGGCATCATCATTGCATGTGGGTGCCCAGGGATGTACATAGGCTGGCCTTGGTGAACCGAGGTTGGAGGCATAGGCGATCTGTAAGCGTGAGGAGGCATTTGAGCGTGCATTGAATGTGGTCCTGCTGACATAGCTGACATAGGAGGGATTGTGCCTACTCCACTGACTGAAGGATCACCTGTTTGGATGTACCCTCGCGGTCCAAAATGTGGCGGTTGAGGAACTCCACCATCCATGTGGTAATTCGGATGTGGGGGCGGGTGCTGGTCGGGGTAATAACCAGGTGGTGCTCCTGGAGGGCCGAATCTCGGTCCTGGAGATGGAAGTCCTTGTCCAAGCGAGTTTTTCCTTCTTCGTGACTTAAATACCGTGACAACCGGTGATTTTCCTGCTCTGTTCGAGGCATCTATCATTGGTTGGACAATACGCCGTCTAGCGTTGATGAACCTGCCAAATAAATGCAATAGTTTTGACATTCTATTTTTGCACATCATGAAAATATTAAGAAATTCACGGAAAATTTTTTTTCCATAAAATTAAGTAGATAATGTTAACCATTAGCTAAAATCTGCCAATGCAATTTCAAAGCTGCTGTTATTACACACATTATTTTCTTTCCGACAAAAAAGTGTTTGAAAATACGTATCGCTTTGTTCCTTTCTAAGCCAAGCAATTAAGATGCAACATTCACTCACCAGTTATTAACTTGAAGGATAGTAAGTCCCGTTTCTTGCGCCAAAGAACGCTTCTGTTCCTCGGAAGGGTACGGGTGCTAGTAGGAAAGTTATTAAAAGCTACTTCAGTTCACCGCGTAATGAAAAGACCATTGTGGTACAGAACAATTAAGCTTAAAAGCCGTGACGACAAAGAAAATGGTCGTGTAACAGTAACAATTAACAAAACACAGAGCCGAATTGGGTGTTTTGTTTTGTCTAATTTCTAAGATCAGGGCGATAAAATGAATAAACCTACGGAAACGTAAACTACATTTATTCTTGAACGAACTTCGAACGCTCTTGAGTAGCAACGCTGCGTGAAGCAGGTTTCGGGAAACAAGGAAGTGAAAACTGGTGCTTTGAACATCAATGCCTCCACCAGCTACTCTTGCCCTGTTCTGCTTTGACGAATTAAAGAGTGCTTAAAGAAAAGTTCAACAATCTCCTATCAGGGTTCAATTGTCTCTTGAGTTAGAAATGGGATTTGACAGTCGTTTGCTTGTATTTAAAGATTTTCTTAAGGTACAGAAGAAATCAAGTTTTTTATGGTGATGACGATGCGCCTTTCGTTCCGTTTTCCAACCAGCTAGCTAAGCTCTGCTCCTTTCCCGAACCTAAAAGACCTTCTACTCGTACCAAATGCTGTGAAATTATGGAATTGGGGTGATGCTGTTCTATCGTCCAAAACTTGTACGATTGAGTGAAATCTATCGAAACTAAACAGACACCTGTAAGGTGTTGGTGGACAGGGTATTGCTTACCGTCAAATGCTGAAACAACCAGGCCTTCATTATATTTGTAGCCGCTTTAGGAAAGATTCCTCTTTTCTTCTGGCTTTTCTTTGACTGTTCATCATCCGTGTTGTCGCCCGTGCCGTCTTCAGAACCAACAGACGTGTTTAGCGAAGGGTCTGAAATAAAGAGGCACGCCATGTTGTCTGAGAAAGTACTGTCGTTACCGAGGGCCACTTCAAGAACTTATTCTATTACACGTCGCAGGAACTGAGAGAATATTGAATCAGACGGTAATGAATACGACACGTTGTTAAGGCGATCACATTTGCAATTTTTATCCCCTCATACACTTAAAAGGTTGTAATAGCGTGGACAGGCAGGTTTGCATACAGGGAGGATTAAGCTTCTTGTGACAGCCTAATTTTCTTGTGAAGGTTTGATGGTTAACACTCTCAAACTTCTGCCAAGGAGAAGAAGCTTAAGGCAACACCTGCTACTCTAGATTCCTGTCAAAAAATTACAAAGACCTACTTGACACGTTCCCAGAGCTTTTCGCAATAGTGTTATTGGTGTCATTCAAGAGAAGACAACCCATTTCCTCCAAATACATATTAGTGAAACCACTCCAAGTTCCCATCGAATTGATAATATCGATAAGAGCGTTGTCGTATGGCCTGTTGACCTAAACTTTTTGTGAAACAATGGAGGAGGCGGAACGGCTTTTATTTTGCCGGTTGAGGTGGACAAAAATATTATCCCTTTCTCGTGAAAGGCCCCACCCCGCTGGACACGAGTGTCCGCACCGCTTGGCCCCTAGCGCTTTTCTCGTAAGATTGCATGCCACATTATGCCCCTTAGAGGCGACAAAGCAAACAGTGGGTGGAAAAAGGAGGAAAATGTTAGCACAGTGTCTTGGATTAAGTAAACATTACGAAAGAATGCTAAATACTCCAAATCAAAAAGAAAACGTCTTTTCTCTCGAAATGTCGTTATGAAAATGAGGCGATACACAAGCAAACATCTGGTTTCGAACAGAATAAAGGCAGACAAAAAATAGCCTGGAGTCGCGTCTAGAGCAAGGAAGAAACACATTGCGAAGCAATGAGTTTGGCGCGTAAGACCGTAGGATTATTGGCAGTAATAATAAATCCTTCTTAGCTTTCACGCACGCCATTGTCACTCGAGTGAAAATATTTTTCGCATGTCAATTACGGATTAAAAGATCTCTTTCACTACCACTTTTCAATTGGACAACTCGACTTCGTCGATGAGATTTCATAAGCGGTGTCAAATTGGATGTTTTTTCACTCCTAACCAATACTTTTTTGGGGAATTTTTCCTTTCAATCTTTTGACAAGAAGCAATTAAATTAATCGAACGCTATCAGCGCGTTTTATGACTTTGTTTCCTATCTGTTAAGGGAAAAAAAGCCTGGATGAGAAACTTGAGCACGATTTAAACTACCTTCAACAAGTCGATAAGACAATGAATGGCCGCCCAACTCTAAAATTCGAGTTATTTGAGATTAATTAATTTGCCCAAGCAATGCCCAGTTGAAGACTAGAATTTCGCCACCATGAGAAGAATTTATGAAAGATAGGTGCTTGAAATTTGACACTACGAGCACTTCGAGGCTGACAAAACCCATCAGGTTCACTTAAATACTTACAACAGCCCTTAAGTCATACTAATTCATTTTGCCCCCATTTCACCTGTTATTCGTTCGTGACAGCAATAAAGCTCTTGAAACTGCTTTCCATGGGGCATTCTCGAGAGGGCATAGAGAGAACAAATTCCAAAAGCACTTGACAGCTCGAAGGCTTTGAATAGCAAACGATTGTAGCTGTGAGAGGGGGCTCCACAAGAACAGTCGCGCACTAATTTGACAGAGCTTCTTCGTCTTTGTTTTTCACTTCTCGAATCCCGAAACTAAACCCCGGAGATTGTAGATATAAGTGACGACAAAAGCATAATGAATTATTGGTTGACACTACTTCAGGAAATTACTGGAGGAAATTGCAAGAGGCTATCTTGTCAGATTTATCAAAGAATCAAGAAATACTGTCAAGCAGTAAGACAATGACAGAAAAGGATGGTACACATGCACTTAAATGAAAGGCAAGCTATTATCGGCTTCAATATTTTTAAAACACACACATTTTTCAACTTAAGTGAGCTATATGAAATCTTGACATCGAAAGCATGGAGCACCAAAGGACAAGTTGCCATCGCAGAAATGTGTCCAAATGACTGATGTGTCCTTGCGATTAATTAACATTTGGCTCAAATCCTGGAAGAAAATTTGCTGATTGGAAGGGAATCTTCAGTTCTCGAGAAAACCCTTGTCTCTGTCAGGATCAGACACTTTTATAAATATTCTTTTCTTCATTAAAATGATTTCTTCAGTTTTCACTTTTTAAAGGTTTGATGTTTGACACTTTGTAAACGAAAATGGCACATCTGTTACTAGCTGTTAATTTTATCGTCTTTCCATTGTCAAAATAATTTCGTCAAACGATTTTTTTCCTTTTGTTTGTACATACAAAGCGAGCAAGCTTTGCGAAAAATCTTTTTTATTTCGTCCGCTTGGCCCTAATTGTAACTTTTCTTTGACAATTAGTCGTGTTTGTATTAGAAAATATTCTTGTCACCTCGCAATCAAAGGAAGGCGTTCACTAAGTAAAAAACACGCGATAAGACTTCTATGGACTTTTTAGGGTTCAATTTGAAGTTTCATTTATCGCAGCCAGTCTGTTTACTATTTACAGGGATAAGAGAATCACGAAACAGACTGGAAACTTCCTGTGCTTAGATTGTCTTGCTTCTGCTAGCAAAGGACAGATAATGACTGGAAGCGTATGCAAATGATGGAAAGCAACCAAAATTTGCATATGCCTTATTCCCGTAAAACGCGTAAAGTGATATTCTTTTTAATTACCAACAGAAAGAAAGCCTTTATGCAGCTGTGTCAACAGAGACATAAAGCTTTCAACTCAATAAAAGGCCACAAGAATAGACGTAGGGCTGAACCAATAACTTCTCTGTTCAATCCCACTCTTTACATAATTGCCAACGTGGATTACAACAATAGCAAAGAGCCACTCATTTAGCATAATAAAGGCACGATAAAACAGTCCCCCCTGATAAGTTCTTCTTTTAGTGATATATTATTGAAGACATTATTAAAAAGACATCGAATACGGAAACAATTTAATAAAGAAGTGATAGAAATGTCGCTTTTAATAAAAGCTTTTACCATTTCCTTACCTTCCGGAGTCGTGGGTCCATCAACCCCCGAGTTCGATGGCGGCCGAGACGACGACTGAGAGTTCGACCCAGAGCCTGCCGCTTCATCTCCTTGCCCAGGCTGCCAGTTCTGAGGATTTGGTGGCTAGAAGAGGCAAAACAAAGAAAATATTATTTATCGCGTGTCTTGCACTCGTGTTACCGCACAGAACCGAAGAAAAGCAATCGATTGTTTCCATAAAATAAAGACGAAAGTTAAAGCGGGAGGTGTAAAAAGTTTTAACATGTAACGTTATTTTTTTTTCAGCAGTGATTATGAAGGAGTAATTGACAAAATTCCCACTTACAATTACATTTTTTCCCGCCGCGATAATAACTCTACAAACTCTAATCGGGGCAATTCGCTGAGCCTTTTATCCCGCGAGGCGTCTGAGAGCCCGCTTGTTCTACCTGTCTTAGGTGAAAACAGGTAACCATTCAACCCATTCACTTGTTAGTGTTGTTTGTGTCAGTTTCAAAACCCAGAGGTGTGAATTTGATCTTTAGATAAATGCTCGTGTTTGGGCCACGGTAGAACTTTTTTCAACACGTCAAGCCGGCAAACCTGCTGTCTGTGCGCCATAAAAACTTTTAACGACTTGACAAAGCACAACGCCATCAAAAGTGTCCAATTGGTGCTCGAATATATGACTTCTGGTGACTTTTCGTGACGGCTGGTTGTTGGACGACCGTCGTTAATACAGTAACCACACACACACACACACTTTATTTTTGCTTTCCCATTCAATTCATAGGACAAAGAAAGTTTGGAAAACATCGCCGCGGGGCGTAACGTAAATACTCCCGACTCAGTGTTCGTCAATCAGGTTAGGCGCGCGACCTGAGCGATAAAAAAGTTACTTTGAGCCGCGCTGCAGGCTATACTTAATTCTATCGCGGGATTGCGAGGACTTAACGGTCGCAGTGCGGTATCATTCTCGAGACTAATAGCCATTCATCCACTTAGATGATAATGTGATGTTGTGAAAGAAATTTACACCTAAGACCGTGCGTCTTTCGCCCACCAGAAGAAAGCCACCAAGCGAGTGCCCAGCTCGGAAAGTGATCTCCGTGGCAAAAGATTATGACACTTCAGGTTACTGTACCTGTGGCAGGCCGCTTTCTGGCGGTGAATCGATGTCCAGAGTATCGCTGTCGCTTCTGCTCTTGCCCATGTTTTCTTTCTCGTCCATTACAAGGTCAATGGGCATTTTACCCTTCAGGCAGGAAATGTAGCGTTTACAGAAGTTGTCACACAGTTCGTGCACCTTGAGGAAGAAAACAAGAGGCGTTGCGGCTAATTGAGGTTTTGTTATTTTACAACTACAATAGCCATTTGAAACTTGGCTAACTGTTAGCGTTTACTCCAAGAAATACCTTTGAAATCTTTCGGATAAAAGCAAATGACAGCGCGAGATTAAATTTCTAACTAAAGATGAGCGTAATGTATGCATTATGCAAATTCTCGTCTGAAAATTGTCTGAAGGTTTTTGCCTGTATACACAGTACTAAGAGCATCCCGGTTTTTACAGAAATCGTTGTTTCGTGTCCTGCAGAGTTACCTTTGTTCAATGGGTCAATGTCTGATGACTGTTCATGGCTGACGAGAAATTGACACTCGAAACATCACAGAATAAATATTCTTCATACCTTTTCTAGTTCCAGTAGGTGAAATCTCAAGACTTGGATCGACTGAATCATCTATATTAGAGAGAAATAAAAAAATCGCCAAAAATCAGGGAAAGTAAAGAAAGATTCCTTCATGCTATGACTCGTAACACCAAAGCTATACAAAGCGCTGGCGGACTGCTGTGAGTGTATAAATCAACGTATAAAGGCGGCGAAGCATGTGGCAACATTTTATGTTATTTAAATTCAATCAACCGGGTTTATATTAATATTTTAACACGTCCACCTTAGAAATGATAGCTTACGGTTCGAGTAAAAGAAAACATCACTTACCAAGCTATCAACTTCGTGGTTGGACGAGAAAATCGTCTTGTCGCTTCTGAACTAAAAACACACAAACAAACGGAAATCATTACGAGATTTAGCGCATTTGATCACTCCCGGTGTATGACTCGGAAAATATAAACTGTAGCACTTCAAGGGACGATTTTCAAAGATCACGTCAGACTAAGAGATCACCGGTTGCCCGTCCCCTGACGGCCTGGGGAAAACATAAGCACTGAACAATAACGTGTGAACATACCTGCTTCGAAAAGACCTGGATATCCTCGTTGAATGAAGCGGACGAACATACATCTCCACCGACAGCTCCTGGTTCGCGAGGAGTGCACGTCGCCAGTTCACATTTCTCGAAGATGAGCGCGAGGAGGGGGAACAGCGAGTGCCTGACAGTAGAATTAACGCAATCATGTTAATGAATAGAGTTCAGTTAATAAGCGTTTATTTAACGAAATGCAGTGAAAATGGAAGTGATCCCGATCCTGTAGGGCCAACTAACTGACAAGCTGCAAGAATTTTGAAGCTGTAAAGACGTGCTTGCTTGCAAGCAGCAAATGTAACTCAAGCTATGCGACGTTTGACAGCCTGGGAGTGTGATCACTGAGATTCACAGATAGATCAGTCGATCGGTCAGTGACTGATACATTTAGCATGACATGCAAATCAAATATACGAGCTGGGACTCAGTTGATGGCAAGTAACGTACGTACCCGTATATCAATTCCTTATCTCTCTTATGAATATCAGAAACGGCGCTCATCGTATTCGAAACTCCTCCTCCTGCAGCAGCAGGCTGGTGATGGTACGACGTCGCACTCGTGCGGTTCATATGCTGCATCGGAGCCCCAGACCGATTGTGATCGTACATGGAAGTGGCAACGTCCATCGCGTAAGGGCCCACTTCATCATAGGGCTGCAAAATTAAACGATTTTGTCAGCTGTTGCAATGCGCCTCTTGCAATGGCACCGCTCATCGGGCAGAAAATGAGGCGCACATACTGCAAAGGCCGGCATCACTGGCAAACGGAACACTCGCTTACTGACCCGTTCAGCCATACGCTGCGTATTCCCACCGCTCCAGGGTGACAAGCCGCTCGGTGGAGGATTGTTATCGTAAAATTGCTGCAAATGTTTAATTCTGAAGGCTGACAATCAGTTTAGGGCTAACACAGTTGGATAGCTTTCTAAACTTACAACCCGTCAACTCAATGTAAGGAAAAGATGTGTACGGCCGTCAACACAACCAGTAACGAATTGTCAAGCCTGTCTCGTGGCTTTTGGATACAGAACTGTCAATCACTTTTCAGAATCTCCATAGGCCCTTGTCATGTAATGACCAACAGAGAATTCGCAACTTGATCAGGAATCTCACAGGAAATTTCGTCGACAATTTCTCTCGGAAGCCAATTTTCAGGCGTGAAAATTTATTCAGGAAGGACTTAGGGTAGCATTATATTTGAAAGAGTATCTCAAAGGCTAATAAGCTTTTTCCCTTAAAATAGAACAACGTAAAGTACTTTGAAGCAGAGGCAAAGCCATTAGTCAATTCTCCTGGGTATTTTCATAAAACCAGCCACTTTTCAATAATACTCAGTGGAACCAATTAGGTTGACGAACCAATCAGGAAACAGCTCATCCGCCAAGCCAAATAATATGTCTAAACATTTCAATCTCTATTGTCTAAGCCATCGTGGTTCTTTACGCAGGACCTGGGGCGTGTCGTTCATTTCAGTGGCCTACAGCAAAGTAATCAAGTGTAATTCAGAGCGTGTTACAAAAGCCCTAAATCAATGGCAGTCCATTAGAAACGCGTTCGAGGCATGACATGGGCATGGTTTTTGTGCTTGCATGTTTCATATTTCACACCACCATTTAATTAGAACACAAAACAATTAACAAATGTCTTGATGCTTTGGAAAGTATGTAAAACAACCCATTGTTGAATTTGATTGACATCTTTCCAACACCTGCTATTAATTGGCTTTCATGACTGTGAAAGGGCTGGAAAAAAGCTTTTCCAAAATAACACAAAATGAACTTTAATAAACACGTTAAAAGCTCAAATACAGCTGAAACAAAGACAAAACTATCGCTGGGCCGCCTAGTTTGTGTTATGTTGTTTTGTGTTAAAAGAAACACGCACTTTTACAATTCTTCTGACTTTTGTCGCCGTTATTAAATTTGGCGTAAATTGAAAGTAATTTTGACGGATTGTATTTCACTATCAATTTCCTTGTCTGTTTGATAACGAAGAAACGTGACGCCTTTTGTCAAAAGCTGTCAGAAGGGCGGAGAACTACGACATTTAGGTGAAAACAACACATTCTAACGAACATGCTTGAAACCGCATAAGATACTGTGTGCTTGTCAGAGCTTGCTCTGAAGTCTATTGTCATTAAAGTGAGCAGAAGTTGCGCGCATTTTAAAAGCTGTCTTCTCGAGCAATAGTGCAAGTCGTGGCGATAGTGTTCGTGTGTTTACTGACAGAAGCTGTTTACATGCCAGGCAATGTTTACGCGCCTGTCCCACAAACGTCCGCATGTTGTTTTGCAAGCTATTATCATCAGGACTCTTGAAAAGCTCGTTTACAACTACGGCAAGTGTCCCCCACGAAACGTTCTGTTAGAGCTTAATCTTCGAAATCTCTGATTTAGTCATTCAAATTAAATACGTGATGCGGCCGGCGTAGATGGGTAAAGGTGAACCCAGTTCTGAAGTGTATTATTAGCAACTGAAATCGGACACTGCTCCCTCCATGTGAAGAGGAAATTTTCCTGAATAGCTGTGAATTAAAACTTGTAAATTATGCTTTTAGCAAAAGTATTTTCTAAAGTCCCTAGAGGGTGTGTTACGCGTTCCTTGAAAGACTTGTGGTCGGAAATAACAGAACAACATAAAATACCTTACAACATAGTGGGAATCATGTCCAGATGGTTCGCAGATTAGTATTAAAAGAAGGAGTTATGACAAATTTGTACGCATAATTTTTATCATTATCAAATTAATCGCATGCGTTGTGAGTTTTCTCTACTTTCAAATCTCTAACAACAAGATAAACCTTGCGCAATTTCAAAACAGACTGCCAACGCTATGTGCTAAAACTTGGTTTGTTTGACGTAAAACCTCGGGTTTCAGTTTTACGATAAACAGAACGCAAGTGTAATATAATCAGCTTTCGCTTTTATGCTTTCACCGACGTTTGTTTCTTATGCGGTGAGAAAATTAAGTCTGAGCTGAACGATTAAGCACTGCAACTAAACTGAAACGTTTGTCACTTGGGATATCGAACATTTCAGCATTCAGTCATGAAAGTGACATTCTGGCGAAAACCTTCATAAAAGAAGCTGACATCTGCTAATTAGATCCTCGTAGTTATCTCACAGGCCACGACGCGATCATTAACCACATGAAAATAATTTTAAAAGCATTAAGGTCTCAGTAGTTTGCAAAGAAAAACGGCACAAATATTGAGGTCAAAGAACCAAGTTTGCCGACAAGCAAGGAACGTAAATAATTTAACTTGGGTGGCTTGAAGTTTTACAGAGGCATGTTTGAGACAGCAGAATCAAAACCGCAAATCGCATTCCATTCTAGAAAAAAGATGCCGTCATAATAACTTATCTTTGCTAGGATGTTATCCAGCGCGATAGCTTTCACTGATCAGAATCTTAAGAGCTTGTTTTCTGTTGTGTTTGGTTGGACATGTTTAAGTTTTCGTTTTAAAACTTGAAAGACAACAAATGAAAGCATTGGACAGTGCGATAACTGCTTGACTAATAAAACCGTGATGTATGTGACAAGCCAAGCTTGAAAACTGCGCGAGTTTTGACACGTTGTAATAACACATCTGATATGATCTGCTTGCTTGCTGATTTTATAAGACGTCGTCTGGTCACGCATGGCTAAAGCATAGCGAAACATGCACAATATCAGCCCTAAAAATGGAACACTTATTATTGTTGAGGCTACAGTTGCCTTGAAATACCTTCTTGATCTAGAGTTCCCGTGCAAAAAAATGTCGCTTACTCAAAAACGTCCAGGCATTTTTATCATTAAAAAAAAATGGGTTAAAATATTTTTACACAATAAAAATCGATTCCCTGGAATAGGTTTTAGCTTTTTTAAAGACTTAAGTTCCTGAAGCAACAAAAAGCGACTTTCTCGTATAGTAGATCTACATGTACTAGAATTTGGGACAACAGTAAGCAGCTGGCAAATCTTTATGGCGGATAAAATTGATTTCCGTACAATTCTCAAGATTCGGTGAAACTTTTTAAGAGTTTCACTGGGTCTCTCGAAAGACCTTAAAATTATAAGGAAATAAAGTAGAGCGCCAGTCAAAGTGTTTCCTCGGCAGGCGTCGCTGTGGCCCATCAGAGAAAGGATGATATTCTCGATATCCTCAAATTTGCCAGCTCGATTTCCCGGCGTTCTGTGTGTTGGAAAAGAATGTTAGATATGTCTTGAGCATCGTTCGAGAGCTTGAAGGTGGGATAAATCAAGCGAAAATTGTAAGACAAATGTCGAGGCAAAAACTGAAAAAAAAACTCGTCTCGTGTAAATGTACACTTCGCAATTTTGGAGGTGCGCAAAAGAAAGCAGCCATGATAAAGATTTCCATCGTGTATTATCGCAACATCAATTTCTGTTTCCTTTATGCCTAATATAAAGCTCTGCACCAAACACAAAAAGCGGGAAAGATTGGCGACAGCAAGAAATCCACAGTCGAATGCCTTTGAAAAGACTGTTTAAACTCTGTACATCATGCATGAAATTACGATGGCTCTCCAATACTCACAATAAAAGCTGTCATTAAAGGCAATAGCTAAGTGTCATGACTGTCATGTTGCTGTTTGTTTCTTTTGCTCGAGGTTTTTCCTTACCACCGTGTGGGGGAAAACACGGCTGTTTGTGTTATCGGATTAAAGAACCTTTGCCCCTTTAATAGCCATTAAAACTACCAGCACATCTCGAGTTCGGTATCTGTGAAGACAGTGTACGACATAACAGCCTTGATTTGTCTCAAAATAAAAACCATACTTCAATTTCACAACAAAGGCATGACAGCTATGTCGTATCCATTAAAACCCTTTTACAACTCTCTTGGCGGTTAGCAAGGGGGACAAGCCATGGCATCAATCAAACGCACTTCAAATTAAAATTGGGACGTGAGGGACATAGCCCGCATTGGAGTGAATATTCTAGGAATTATAACCCGCTGGAATAAATGAAGGCACTGGAACCAATGAAAAGAAAAAAAAAAAACAACTCACAACAGTAAGTAAGCCAGGATACTTATTTTTCTACCCTTGGATTATGCTTTGGAGAATATCTCCTTGAAGTGGGTGAAATACGTTTCAGCTGATTGCTGTATCAACATATCTGCACGATAGCTTTACTCCGTTTCAAAACCGTCGGATCTAAGAAGCGAATGCGGAGTTTTAAAAACAAGATTCGATCGTAAACAAGATGTGCTTTAGATGGCAGAACCAACAATGATAACGTGTTAGGATGCTTGTGGCGGTCGACGGAGTTACGTGTATAAAACAAACGGTGTGATTTCAAAATCAAAGCGGCTGTTATATCACAACACCGAAAGGATAGAAAGGAATTTCGAGCACAAAATGACAAAAGATTTTAAAACGCCACTGACATGACATTTTTATTCTCCGCTGGCTATCGAATCAGCGCATCGTTTAATGGGTTGGACTTTGTTCAGTTGGTGAAGGAGTGTGTTTTTGCATTAAAACTACTTTTTTCGCTTTTATGCCTTGTTTAAACAGCAGCATCAAACAAGTTCTGAGGATACGAATCACTCTGTGCTTTAAATTTCAGACGCTTTCAATCACGCTTCAAGCGCGGAGAAGGCACTGCTTTGATCGTAACTTTTAAAAGCTTAGGTGTTATTACAAATTGCTTTCACGTGAATTCTTATGGCCTCTTAGCAGCCCGCAGTAATTCACCACACATTTCCAGCTTAATGCCATGTCGACCCAGTGACACTACGTTGCATATTAATGGTGGCGCAAAGGCGGTGAACACAGTCGTTGTGCCCAAAATGTGCCAATAAAGCTTTCCTCACCTTCCACTCCACACTTGTTCGCTTCGAAATAATTAGCCAAGCCTTTCGTTACGCTTATGTGCCTGTGTTTTGATCTTGACCGTCTGCAGCTTTTCTAATCGGCCTCTCGAAACTTCAAACGACTGCCGTTGAGAGCGACATATGACTTCAATATTCAATGGAGAGAGCTTCGGTTTAGAATTACAGTACATCGATTACACTGTCAGACCTTTCCGTGCAAATTTTAAATTGCGAAAGAATTTTTCATGCACCTAAAAATAAACCACTTATTATATTTAAAAAATGCAGCTTCTGCCCATCGAAAATAGCAAAGCACTCCAAGCATAAGAAAAGGCTTTTTGAATGTTAAGCTCAAACGGTTATCAAGAAGAGAAAAGACCGAATGGAGTGGGTTGTTTTCCTCGAGTAAAATGTTGTGCCACCGAGAAAAAAATTTGAAACAAATTTATCGTCGTGCATCAGGTTCCAGTTCGCTTGTTACCAAGAGGAAACGTGGATTGTGGTACAATATTGAGACTATAAAATATTATGTTGAGGTCGCAGACCCACAAGTCGCGGGACTCGAAAATCAGAAGAGACATGGAGAACACGCCTTGAGCGGAGCTCCCGTAAAGTGGATCCATCCGTTCGTGGAAATTGCTCAGTCAACACCGTTTTAAAATGAAGAATCCTTGGCGGAAAGTGAAAATTTCCACACCTATTTTGCTAGAGCATCTAAAAATGGTTTAATCATGTATTTCATGGTGTTGAAAACACTACTTAAAATCGCAGACTTGACATCTGCCCTCCATATTGGATTTTAGAAGTGAAGGCATCTTCGACTTAATCTCCGTCCTCGTTCTTTACACACAAATCCAATTTGCTAAGAAATAGCCACAGAACGGCAAATGGACAAAGGCTGGTTTTCAAAGAGAATTTTCAAGGAATTCCTAAGCTTCGTCCACAAAATGATGTACAAATGATTATGATGTCAGACAAGAAGCAAGTTTCCCTTCACTTGGCTTTAAAACAAGGCCCTATTCATAAACTCTTTGTATTTACAAACTCTGCAAATAAATTTATGGACGAGAGAAGTTTTCAGTCAGTTGTTATTGTTGGAATCAGTTCATGATCGTCGTACTTTTATTATTATTTTTTGCCTGCCTCTTCAATCAGCTGGTCACGCCTGATCTGAAACTTTGACAACTACATCGTGAAACCGCTCAGCACTGATAATACACTTTCAACTGTCTCTTTTAATTATCCCAGCGAGAACAGCCGGAAAACCTTTAGGTTAACTTGGGTTTATTTTGAAAAGCTTTGGACTTGTCAATCTACTGTCCGGGAACGTTTAGCACCAGCCAGACGATAATTATCAGAGTCGTGTCGGGAGGTATCAAACACAATCCGTCCGTCAACCGGATAACATATACACTTTACAGAAATTCGCTTTAAAGGAATACTTTTAATACCATTAACGGGCTTGCGTTTCTTTCAATAAATGAGCTAAACAGCTTATGGGGGTGAGCACAAGAAGTTGATATTTTATCCGTGATAAATACCAGTTTGATGGCCGTTTAGAGAATAATAGCCTGCGAAAAACTTCAATCGTCGAAAACTACGTGTTGCTCATACTGCCATTGACCAAATTCTTTGTTTTTCACCTTTTGTTGTGGACTTTTCCAGTTTTTATTTTATTTTAATTTACTTTATTTACAACTACGGAAGAACAAAGACCAAATGGAAAATTTCGGATTCATCTGGGATACCCTAACCGAACAAAAACCTTCATTCCCACCCATTAAGCCAATGCAGAAGATCCAATGCAAAGAAACTGAAACATGCCCGACCCTATATAACCTCTTTCCAAAGGTTCACATCTCGATTTCAAACTCAAACAAACCTGCTTTTCTTTTCCCAAAAAGATTTTCTTTGTAATCCGCTTAACTTTCAACCAAAATAAGATATAGAGGCTTGTGTGAGTGCCTCCTTTTAGTAATTGCTTTTGTCGGCTGTTTAATCTATGTGGGGAGATATATGTCAACAAAACATCGTTCTGAAATGCTTTAGAAACTCGATGGAATTAGTTTTAAATGGGTGTCTCTTGTGCACTACTTCAAGACATTCAGAGACTCGCATCCTGTAGAGATTTTTACTGAAGGAGAAGATTCGAACTACTAAATCTATCTATTGTCTAAAAAGTTGTTCTCATCTTCATAAATTCTTCACATAAATGCGCAGGTGTCAGTGAATTTGTGTTCTTTCCTTTTTCTTCAATCCCTTCCTTCCTGTAGTAATTGCTCCTCAGTGTGTTTTAGTTCACTTTAAGGCCAATATAGCAATAAGTTTAAAACGCAAAACACTGGAAAATAAAAGCCGTCATTGTTATTCCTAACATTGCAATGGCAAAATGGGATCTTCGCCATGGGATTAGTTTCGATAGTAATTTTGGCAATGGTTAAGTACTCGGTTCCCGGTTGTACGTGATGTGGCTCGTTTTCGGACTGGTTTATGATAACCTGTTTAAAAGAATCTTACTTGAAATAAGTAAATAAAAAACACGCGGTCCTTTTCTTGCGTCCTCGTTCACTTTACAACTGTAGTTTTATTCTTTTATTCGACTGTCGATACCGCCATGACTATTAATATGCTGTGTGTCGGTTGTGTTGACTTAAATTTGAAAAGGCCATGAGTTATAAGTCGTGACATTTCTTCAGCGCATCGATCAATCGGCACATTTTGCCGCACATTCACAAAGTGTCTGTATTGAAAATTTTTCAGGGATTTGCATGAATGGGCAAATATAAATCGCGGGAAACGTTCGTCGGTTTTTTCAAGCGTGCTGGATGTCAAAAAATCTCGAAGGCGCCAAGAAATAAATGACGCTGGCGGTGTTTACAGAGGAAAAAGAAAAAAAGACACTTATTGAAAAGCTCAAGCGCACTGAAATGGCATAAAGAGACCGGTTGTTACAACATATGTCAAAGTCTTTTAGGAAAATTTAAGAAGAGTTCGTCGCTTTACTTCCAAGTGTGGATTTTCTTGGCTGGAACAAACGTTTTGAACAAGTGGAACAGTGTGGACTAATTATTTCTAGGTAAAGGTTTACTGCATTCTCTTTTGACATAGTAGGCGCGAAATGACTTGATCCCTTATATCTCCTTTTTCTTTAAGTGTTTAGGATAAGCATTCAAACGTATATTTCGAGAGGTTGGTTATTTGATAGCGATGGAAAGTGAACGAGCTGTCCAAAATGTCCATATCTGTCTGTCACAACACGAGCTTGAAGAAAGCGGATGAAAGGCGACCGAAAGCAAACTTAACATACCTAAAGCACCAAGTAAAGTGTAAAGTACATTGCCTTTACATCGACTGAGTTTCTACTAACAGCTCCTGCACTTACAAAACGCTTGGAAACTGAATGCACTGCGCCTAACTGTTCGAGGGTATTTTGTTAAAGGATGATCGAGATATTTTTCTCAATCAAGATAGACTAGAAATTGGTGAAGTTTCAGTTTCCGCGAAACGATGGCTACCGAAGGACTTAGTGCCGTCATTTTCAAATCAACAGCGACTCGCACCAATGTGCTGAAGAAATAACCATAAAATCAGGTAAATAAGGAGAGCCGTTGGACTTTTATAATGGATTTTTTGGTCTTAAGAGTGTCATAACTGAAACTAGCACTCGTTCCCGCTACAAACGAGTTGATACTCTAGCCATCGCTGCCGCTTTCGCTCATTTCGCTCTTGGTGACGACTTCTAGTGCAAATCAATCTAACATTAATCATTTCTGAATGCTATGTCAGCTTAGTGTTTATTAGTTTTCGCTTTGTGTGTTGTAGACCTGCAAATTTTGTGTCAATTCTTTTTAACATTGTTGGTTTGGGTGAGGTAAGCCAGTGAACGTTTCACGGCTACACGTGCTATGATTTTTTTCCACCGTTTTATCGGCTGCGTGCGGAAGGAAAATGAACGGAAATCAGTTACCGACCATTTCTCATGCAATTCTCTACCTAGACAACATCAAGTGATACTTTGAGAATGCTGTACTTATAAATTGTACGCTCAAGTATGTAATGCAACCACCGAATGCAAAAACGGCAAACCAAAAGTGTCACTAAGTGAAATACACTTTGGTGTTTTCTATCTTCTTAGAAAACTCCACCGTTTTCTATTTGTAAAACATACCACAAACACAAATACTATGCGAACCCAGAACGCCTAGGCGAAGGTAATTGCCTCTCACCTTGTAGAATTTTCTTCTTAACCAACCAAATATCGTGTAAACAGTTTTAACTTTCCTGAGGTAAAAGCCCACCTAGGATATTTTCATACTCACCCCTTTTGCGTCAAATTGTACCGGGGAAGCAGCTAGGCTTTGTAAAATGTGAAGATCTTGAAAAGGCGGAATCGACATCTTTTAAGTTATCCTACGGTAGATGGTCTTACTTTGTCGCACACTTTCTCGTGAGTTCACCGATGATTTTGAAGTGTGCTGGACGAGTGCTTCTCAACAGCTATGCACCGAGAGTAAATTGTCGTGACTCAAGTGGCGATTGGGTGACTGTGATCAAGGCCCCGCTGGGTCCTGTCGAATCCCCATTCAGCGCCCTATTGAACTCTTAAAGGACTGAGGGGAATCTTGAGAGACGCTCAATACAAAAATATATCTCATTGCTGCTTTATAAGCTACATATTCGCTGATGAAGCGCATTGTTAGTATATATGTTTTGGTTTCGAAGTCATTTGACGAGGCGGATTTCACCCACTTGTTAAAACCAAAATAATACATGAATATATCTTTCTGTTGTATGTTCCGTAAAGAGTTCTTGTTTCTTTTCACGATTTCAATAAAAGAAACATAACTGATAAACAGCCGTGATGAGTCAGCTTGTGCCTCAGCTGATCAGCGCCAACTTTTATTTTTGTAAACACTTACCTGATAGCTCTTTACATGAGCTCAAAAACCGCAATTGCGAATAAGAGTTGCTGGGCAAATCATATTTAAAGAATCAAGTGCCTCCAACTAATGATGTAAGAGGTTTAGTTTCGTTGAGGTTTTTGAAACACCAAAGTTTTTGAATTCCTTGAATTATTTCAGGAGAACACAGTCATGCATCAAAACATCCAGTCATGCAATTTTGAATTGAAGTTTTTTTCTAAGTAAATATTTCTACCAACTTAAAACTATTATGCAGTAGTGAGCTGGTATTGAAATTTCTTGGGCATATTTACTTCGAGATCTGCCTCAAATAGGCCGCCCTAAAACTGAGGAGCAATCTCAATAGAAAATAGTCACTTCCATTGAATAATTAACATCCCCGTTAAAACGACTAGCTGCTGGAAGAGAGAAAGAGTTTCAATGGTAAGCTATATACCACCGCCCAGTATTGAATCTTTAATATGTTACACCAGCCATCATTTGAACAGCTTATGATGTGTTTAACTTTTCCACCACAAAGTATGAAAGTCTGTATAACTTATTTTAAGGTTAAATCCTAAATTGCATTTTGTTAAAATATTGAGAAATTCTTAGTGCATTGTTAATGTACTGCTGGAGAGGTGTCATTGCAATAGTTACACCACAGGTTTCATCCACAGACTCTAAAGTTTGAACCTTTTCATGTCCAGTTGATATAGACAAATTTTGGAAGTTAAAGGGTTAATATTTTCTGATAAATAAACGGTTGAAAACGAACTTGTTGTTTCATTTTAAACCAGAAAATAAACAAATCGGGGTTTAGGTAGTTGTAATGTTACTCGCATTGTTTCTAATTTGGTAAAAGAAACTACTGCGCGTCAAACGTAACATGCGCGAAGCTTTATATCACTGATCCAGTTATATACGGTTCAGTTTGCTATCGACGTTTTGGATGACACTAAAGGGTGTCCCGCTTCAAAATAAAGACTTCTAAGCAGTACTTTTCCATAGTTCTAAGGGCCTCACGGGCTTCTAGTTGACTCCTTTTAATTTCATGGAAGATAGCCTAATGAGTATCCGGCAATCCAAACAAACCTTTCCACGCATTTTGATTCCTGTGTTTCTCAAACTGAAAAAAAAATCGGATTCCAGTCTTTGAGGTCGATAGATTAAATCGTAAACTTTTACTGGGCTCAAAGAAGGACGGCACTTTCCATTATTAGAAAAGTGAGCATAATGTCTAACGTGGCGTGAGTGTTGTGACTACTGAACACAGTTGTGCTGGCTAGGGCCATTAAGCCGGCGAAGCTGTTACATTTCGCAATTCTTGTGTGAGTTGTTTCTTTTCAAGTTAATTTATTTCGTTTGCTTTAGGTTTAAGTACAAATCTTGCCTTTAACTCGCCTTCTAGAAGTACTGATGACGTTACATTGATGTAACAGGTTAAGCAAGATTTGAAGGCATTCTTAATCGCTAGAGCTTTAAAAATATAAACAGAGTCTTCTACGAGCCAGGTCGATTTAAGACGAACTAAACTGAATTGGGTTGGGCCTGCGACATTTGATATCCTCCTCGAAATATTAACCTCATTCAACTTAGTGCACATGCAACTGCCACGGTTCACGTTTGTAGCCCAAGAATCACTACCTAAAAAAACGCTCATAGATTTGAAACCGCATTGCGCTTGGATACGAAAGTCTTCTGGATCGAGTGTCACCATAAAATCACAGAATCGAAATAGAACTGTGTGTATAGCTGGTCACCACGTGTGCATAAAAAAACGCTCCTGATCTTTATCTCTCCTCAAGGGTCGGTTCTTTCTTAACCCTGCTGTTCCACATAGATATTTTGGGCGCCAAAATTGTTCGTCTGTTTAGCAATATCTATTTATTTACCCTGTCGCTTAGCTAGAGAGAAATCTGCATTTTTTAATAGGTGTCTCCAGGGTAGACAACAACACAAATGCTTATTTATCTTTGGAAGAATACCCCTGTTCCTTTGCAGTTTAGCCTGAAAATGATAGATATACGCCTGATACACTGGCTGTGGTGGGTCCATTTCGAAGATATTTTCCTTTTATAGGTAAAATTTTTTTTAAAAAAATTTCTTTCAGCTTTTGAGTATGTGTGGAAGTTCCTAAAGATTTGAACAGGCAAACACAAAATGGAATAATCATAGAGGGCGCAGTTCTTCTTGTCTTCCTGCCTTTCTTACAACAGTAAGGCAGCATATTTTCCTTTATTGTATTTACAATTCCTCAGAGAAGTCGATAGGAATACGTGAGACTTAATACATTGCTAACCTGATGAAATTTCTTGTGGTCACTTTGTTCTTAAGAAGAAAGCAAATACATTTGTAATGATGCAACTGGGAGCGTCTTTGGTTGGCAAGATTATTTCTTTTTCACCAAACGCCACATTTTTGAAAGATGAAAAGATGCAGTTTTATTTTCTCGCCATGGACTGTATATGCTTCTGTAGCTCTTTTACTTCGAAGTTATTGCTCGCTCCTATTGCGTGAGATCTCTACTGAGTCTTTCACGCGACAATGTCTCTTGAATATAATGTGCCAGACAAGGCAAAACAAACATTTTAAGTTACCTCTTTTCTCGCGGTTTTGTCGGTATATTTTTGGCGATGGCGTGTTAAAAGTATTGTTCAGTGTGTATGTCTCTGTCACGTTACCGTTAAGTCTGCTTGTAGGGACATAGGTGTGGATCTGAAACTAGCTGATTGTCAAATGAAGAAGGAAAAATATACACTGAGCACTTGGCAAATCACTGGCCCTCGGAGAGCTATAGTGAGCAGATAAGATGAAGAGAATCACGCTGGTACCTCGAATCACTAGCACCATGCAGTTTGTTCTGTTGGAGGTGATAATTTCAAAAATAAAAATAAAAGCAATTCTTGATAGGGAATAAATTGCTAAATCTCTTGATTTCTCATTACCTTATCTGAGTTTCCAAAGCAGAGAATTCACACGACGACCACAAGATCGATTAAGCTCTGTTAAAAGAATACCAGCATTTGAGACACATTTTCATTTTGTGGTTTAATTGCGTTTCTCTTTGGGAGGGGCAGCGTTCCATTCTCTTTTTCTTTTATTCCACAGAACGCGATATGATCAAGAAATTCTCCTTTGTCTGATTTCAAAGAATGACCACAACGCTTTTACCTCAATCGAAATATCAGTGCTGTTGGTTTTAAATCGCTAAACTGCTGGGATTTGGCAAAGGGAATTCCTCGTCGCACTAAATTTCACACAAAGGCAAAAACGATAGATAGACTGGCGTAAACAACACGTTAAGAAGTAACTCAACAACCTCTTTTTGACATGTCACGCTCTAGGTTTTACGTTTATTAGAAAAGTGCGATGAAAACACTCATTTCTAACTAAGTCATATATAAAGAAGTGTCAAGGCAACTTTCCTTGTACAGTGCATTTGCCTTCTATTAAGACTGAGCTGGATTATTATCGAAACAGAAAGAAATTCTGCCTGAATACGGATTGTCTTCTTCACAAACAAGTATCCTCACCTTTCCTAAACATGAAACTAAGTTTTCAATGAAATTAGAGTTCATTCTGTATTTTGTGGGAATTAAATGAAAAGAAGATTCTTGACTGAAAAAAAGCTTTAAGACTGAGGTTTTTTTAATACTGTTCGAAGGGATAAAAACATAAGGATGGGGCATTTGTTTCTTTGGTCAGAATGAATTCTGTTTGCTCCTTATTCAAACTCGCACTTCATCAAATGCTAGCAGCTGAATACACCTCAAATTTAACCTTAATTTCATTCGAAAGATCATTGATACATCAAACATAGTACTTACTTAGGAACCACTGCGAAGCAAGAATGATATCGTTTATTGAGTAGTTTAGTTTTAGTTTTTTCTCTAGAAAGTTAACGCCCTTTGCATACGATGGTAACCTTTTCTTTCTATCAATTTTCCTGCAATTTAACAGGTTCAACGCTACCACAACCACCAGGTGATTATGGAAAACAAAGTTTGTGGAGAAGGAAGAAACTCTGACAAGCACACATCATTGGAGCACAGCAAGTGGTAAAGTCAGTGTAAAAAAGAGTAATAAAGTCCTCCTTCTTTCCTAATTTCTTGTCCTCATTTTCTAATTCATTAATGTTTTTTTTCCTTTTTTTCTAATCTGCATGCATAATGATCTGACACAGACAGATCAGCCATCCTATCGCCATGATTAACGCATTTCTGTTCCAAGTGATTGTCACAAATTGTATGTATTATGTGCCACGCATGTGAAGACATTAGGGAAACGTGACTGGAATTTCATTTAGATTTCTTAAGTTAAAATAAGACGAAAATATAGATAACAGTTAAGTCTTGTAGTCGCACGGTACGATTTAAAGTCAGCTGTGGTTGAAACCAACGTGCAGCTCGATTGTTTTTGTTGGACGATCACATTCTTGTAGTTTTACCCACAGACTCCAAATTTAGAACCATCGTGCAGTGCACGTATTAATAAACTTCAGTA